ATTGCAAAAATAGAAGAACCTGGAACGTGATTGATGGATACTGCTCCCATAGAGGCCTCGACCGGTAGCTGATTACAACACCCGTTTTACCAGACTAGGGTTGGACAATTACGGCCTCGTCTGCTGATTGGTTTTACTTTGTATTAATCCATTGATGAAGTAAAGCTCAATCTCAACACATACTGGTACTGCAGTAATAGTGGTATCGTTACGACCATACTGCCGACCAATTTTTGCGCACCTTTTCTTGGAAACATACCAGTCGTTCCAGTCGATGGATATGTGTCACACCTGGATTAGTCAGCGTGAATTTGTTTATCTGTCTGTGTGTGCATATGTATATGTAGGTGTACGTGTATATGGTGGTGTTCATGTCTTTTGTTAACCGCGTACCGATGTAGAGGTCATCGTTTCTCCCTGTCTCTCTCTCTCTCAATGCCTTTCCTCTTTCATGCGCATCACACACAGCGTGTCTGCACTCATACCACTCACTCAACACCAACGCATTGTCTCACATTTATATCGTCTTCCACAATACATTTAGGACGGGCAAGTGCTCCGGTTGCGTCTGGCTTGTGGTGAGAGGGTGTGAGTGAGTGATACATTGCACGTGGTGGTTACCGGTATCACACTCTCACCCACGCTCTCTGGCTATGTGCGAGTATGCACGTGTGTGTGCGTGTGAGAGAGCTCAACAACTAAGCACGCCCGCTTACATCTTCGAGAACGCACGATCTATGAGGGCCTATGTGCACGTACGCACACAAAACGGTGGGTGACCTTGGCGATTCGAATCGCACGATTGGACCACAATCTGGTTGTCAGACCGTGGACTGCACCAGAGCACAATCTCTCCAACGGACAAAACGGATAGTGATTTTGCAAGTTCTCATATAAATGCTGTGTGACAAGTGTACAAGCCACTAAGACAACTACTGGGCAGTAATCAGTAACGTGACTGTGATCGGCTCCCTCTCTCGTTTCTACCTGCTTTCGTGCTGATCAGAGAGAAAAAAGACATGAAGGGGAATACAGGGAGCAAATCACATTCGATTGGAAAAGGTCGCTCCTCGCAAAGTTTGAACGGGGAAACGATAGACAGCAAAACCAAACAAGTCGTTTTTCTTAAATCGACAGTTTGTTCAATTGCCAAACAACTCCGTCAGTCGGAAGATGCATATCAGGAACCATTGATTGGAAAACTTTTGGCCGGACAGTTGAAGAAGCGTCATGCTCATGGAGCGGAAATATGCTGTTTGGAAGATCGACTGAATTTCAAGAAGACGAAAGTGTTTTCCAAAGCTCCATTTCGTAATTGGGTTCTATACAGTGAAATTGAGCACTATTTTGTCTTTCCTGGACACGATACATTGTTTATGCTTGTGATCAAATCCAACACCCCTGGGAAGTCAATGTTTGAAACATACAAATGTAAAACTGCTGATGAAACCACTCGACTTCGTCGACTAGTATGCCAGGCGTGTACCGATCCAATGAAGAAATTACGTCAGAATAATGAAACCAATCGCCCGTGTTCTACTGTGTCCGAAGTTTCGCTACATGAGAACGCGATTTCACAGCCAAACCTGCATGAAGCCGGTATTGGAGATCTTGAAGATGACGAATGCGGTAGTGCACATTCACATTCCTCCTCTGAAGATGAATCCAACGAAGAGGATGTGTTCCCTGAAGTGGTTCATTCACCGCAACATGCTTTGCCCGTCCAAAGCAGTCCATCGCCACCACCACCACAGCACCCGCCAGCACAGATTTTCGATGTGCGCGAACTATCCCCGGTCTCATTCAACGAATCAAAGGTGGTACTGACCGAAGTCCAGCCTGTTATGTCCGCTCCAGCATATTCTCGAGTGGAACTGGTCGAATTGGATGAGGACGAGAAAAGCGATGAGGACGGTATGACCTATTTTGACTATGACCCCCAAACGGGAGCCGTAATGAATGGTGAAGGACCGATTTATATGTTTCTTCGGCGCTACGAGGTCGTCCAAGATAACAGGTATGAAAATGGATATCATTAGACTAAACAAGTATTTTGCTCCATTGATCTTCGAACGTGAGTGACTTTGTGTTACTGTCATCTCGAGGTGTTCCTTCCTGTTTACATGCACACCAATCTGCCTTCACTATCTGANCCTGCCTGCTCGCTCAACTATTTGCTCGCCTACCTGCCTGTTCGCTCAAATATCAAACACTGCGTTTCCACATTTCTTGTATTTGACCAGACTAATCATGATGAGGATCATAATTCGTTCGAGCTTGGATGCATGCTCACAGACACAGGCAATGAATACTTCGTTGTCGGCCCCTTTTTTATACAAACGTTTCGTGCATGCGTTTGGTTTCTGTCTTTTTTCAGGATAAACAATTTTTCTAGCTAACAAAGCATCTCATTTAGGCAAACCATTGGTTTGGGAAACAAATTTTCTCTTCTGTGCTCGCAAGACACTAAGCATAGGTGCAACTTTTAAGTTCTGTTTATTGTATTTAGCCTCTTCCTATCTTCAGATGCGTGTTCGCTTGGATGCTGAGGCGACGGAACTACGCAGTCCGGAAGCGCCTTGTTATTCTCCACTCACATGGTTACTAATTTTCTATATATGAACATTATCCCTCTTCGTGTCTAAATTATCACACAATACCGATGTGCATATCAATAATTGAGAGACTTCTTCTGCACGTTCAAAATTTACCTCGTGAGTCATCCAACGAGTTGCCCTATCACGTGCTGACTTACTCAGAGAATTATTCTTTCGTTCAACCACTCATTCACACATGTCAATGAACCGACCGATCCGTCAAAAATGGAGCGAAAAATCTCCTCCTCGTGCTCAGAATCATAAATCTTCCTGAAAGCAACACGATGTTGTTGGACATTATTATCTCATCCTTTTCTGTGTGCTTTTCGTGACTTTCGACGACCGTACCTCTGCTGTGGCCTATCGATCTGATCATGCATTCTCTCCCTCTATATGTATGCGTGCTAATTTCACTCCTGCAGTTCCTCTGTTCTCAACACCCCCCCAGCCTCAATGAACTCATTCCGGTTGACCGATATACTCTACTTATACCCCCCTCGTTATTTCATTTCTTTTCGAGTTATTTTTACTGGTACTGTCAGTGCTGAAAACGTGTGACGATAACAGTTTTGCTCATCTTCTTGTGTTTTGATTTAAGTTCAAATTTGATGCATGTGGTACAGTACACACACACACCCATGACACACGCCCCTCGGTTAGCTATTTTGGGCAGTATTTCAACCCCCATGTAGGTCTAGTCTATTTCAGATAATACTCACGTTTCACAGTGGTTGAAGTGATTTTTACTCCAAGCTTCTCTGTACGATAATGCTGTAGATTATCTCTGGTTTCAGACCATAGACGTTGATAAGTCTGTTTTTATACGAAAATTAAAATGTTGTATTTGGTATACATGAATATTATTCTGGAATGCCGTTGGTAAGCAATAAGATGTTTATTTTGAGGTACGTTCATCCCTTGAATGAATGACTGAGTGGAAGGTTTATAAATGTAACAACCAAAAACAAGATTACACCAAACCGGAGTCCGTGAACCGGGCTTATAGGTGTGTCTACTCAATGTGCGTGGAACACAGTGTAATGGGTGCGTATTGATCCAGGCGGTGTGGAACTGAATGATTTTCAAAGCGCACCTACCTCATTTTCTCCTGAATAACGTTAGCATAATCAGGAAGAAAGTTGAATTGCCAATAGTTATCAGACTAACTCACCGTTGCGTATTTATGAAAAAAAACTAGTAAAATATTGATGAACTCTGGTAGCTGACAGCTGTTCAGATGTTCTCGCACTTTAGGAAACATCTCTCGATTCCCACAGTGCGTGATTGAGTGTCCGTAAAGCGCCTCTATGACTAGACATTTATCGGGAAATGATTTCGATGACATTTCATTTCGGTTTTCATATTATTACAGAGAATACAATACTGCAGTAAATCTTAGTATGTTTTGTTGCTTACAACAGAGCTTACGGTAATTTTCTCCTTGTTTTGACCAGAGAATCATTAATTACGAGAGTAAATGAAACTAAATACGTTTAGATTTTTGTAGCATACATTCAGGGCTATAAAGTAATGTTTATAAATGGAAACCTTGATAACCGTCAACCAGAGATCACCGTTCGATTCAGTGAAACACGTTTACCGATAAGAGAACTTTCGCATGATATTTTACGGTTATTGTGTAAGTATTAGGATTTTAAAGAAATGTTTCCCGGTTGTTGGGTATGCGTCAAACTATAGAATATCTAGGCACACTATCGTTAACTCAGGTGCCTTTGAATAGAGGGAACGCTTAATTCCGAAATGGTGCGGTTTGTTTCCGAAGTGATTTCTATATAACTCTGACCGTGACTCAATAATTTGGTCAAATTAGAATAATACGAGTCGCCTCCCACTTGCAAGCACAAATGATTGAGTTCCTGTTTGTTGGCATAGGAACGAGTGTAATTGATTGATTTCTTTGACCTAACCAGCATTACCGAATAGAGAATTTCGATTTTTCGGTGACGCCGCAGTACTGTCCATTAAAATAGCACAAATTGGCTGCTTTTATTCGTTGAGTTTTTCAATACTCACAGAGGTGCTTATTAAGTAATCAGGTTTCTCTATACGAACCCTACTTGTGGTAGTCAACATATCCATAAGTTCGGTTATACTTTTATCCATTGTGTTATAATTAAATTTCTTTAGGTCGAGTGCGAAAGCCATGTATATCCAAATGAAGTTTTGAGTATGTTTAATTACAAATCGCAATAACATTCACGACAAGTAGTAGACCTTAATTTACAGGCTTATCAAGTTCTCACAAAACGCGATCCGTAAACTTGAAACGCCAATGGAAGGTGTGAACGTATATCGATTGTTAAGCCGTTACCTGAAAAGCGCTCGTTGGTCTTGCACATACCTCACCTCCTTAATCTTTAATTGTAGTTTATTCTGACGAGAATATGTCTCCCTCTACAATACAAACCAGGTTTGATTAAGGTATGTAACAACCTGAATTTACAGAGGGCGCAGTTAGTGACGCCATCCGGGCAGTCGAAGATATTTGGAGTCGGTTTATAAGTCTGCAAAACCAATTTTCATACATTCATTAGGCATTTGGGGGCTAGAAACTAGACCGCTTACTGTTTTAAACTCTACTGAGTGAAGCATACACCCCAGTTGATGTGACTGACAAGAGTTGCTAGTTGCTAGTTGACAGTAACTCGTACTAACTGCGAAAGAATTGAGCTTTGACATCACAGTCTTGTGTGATAAATATAATCACTTGCGAAGCGAACTTGAATTACTTGCTAGTATTTCGGTCCACTGACTGGTAACTTATCCAGTGCTGAAGTTATTCTGGTCCGCTGCTTCAACGTGAGATGAATCGTGCGGTTACCAAATAGAATTATGCCGATTTATTTCAATCCAGGTATCCGTTTGGAGTTTAGAAATCGAATGTGTGCACAGATTGTCACATTATGAACTGAGGACAATCGCAGAAAACAAATTCTTCTCAAAGATTCCGGTTCCGAAAAGGAAAACGTCACTCACGCCTACTGGGTTGCTCCCGGTCCTTGAATATCACGCGACGGAATTCATCCATCTGTTTGCCTGTCTTGTTTGTTCCCGAACAGTGGATTAGTCGTCTAGTCGATCGAATACTAAACCCGTCTGACGGAATACGGATCCGCGTTCATTAACACTCCGTATAAAGTGAAAAATACTGGCTAAGGATTCGAAAACCATTTGTCTTCATTACGCGCTGTCGCCAGGATCATGGGTCTGTTGAATATTTTGCAAAATACGTTTGCCTCAAAAATCGTTGATTCGATTCACACCAAATCAACACAAACACACAAGAAAGCTAATTTACGTTCCAATTCGTTCCTAATAAAACTTTCATAATTCGTAATTCTCCGGCCCTCTGCCTCTATCGAGTTCCGTTTGGATAGCCGCCGCCTCGTGACTCATTCCTGCATTGTGCGGACTGGACTTTGCCACACACGACTCGCAATACGCATGATGGGCAGAAACGGTTAATAAGTGATTCCTTGGCTCTTGAACCGAGTAAATGGCTTTCGATTGATAATAATCGGCGCTGAACCCAAGGTGGCAATGTTTGGCTCTCTGGAAAAACGTGTTTTTGTACCTCTCAGTGATCATAGTTTTCACGGTTCTGAAATATCTATCCTTGATAATCTACGCCCAAATCGGTTCTGCTCACATTCAAGCTGTGTTGTTGTAGGGGGTTAATTTTTTGAACAGCCTCTTTTCTTAATCAAATACCTCAGAAGCAAATGTAGCTAAATTCAGACGTGAGGATTGGGTGCAAAACCTGATAACGGAATTCGGCAGCAAGCATCTTTGAGTTCAAGAGGAATGAACCATTGTGCTAGATTTGTAAAGTGCTTTGAAGACAGTATGGATTCCCATGTATTCATCATCATAATCACCGATACTGAATCCAGCAGAATATAGGGAACGGAAATAATGATCTTTTTGATGTGACTTCTTCCTCCGTTGAGGTCGAAGCGTCACAGCGGATTTGCAATTGGAAGGATATTGTTATCGGAGAACGAATTTAAGTACCCGCTAAGTTCGTGTAATCTCAAATGATAATCGCTGTTTTCCTCTTGCGATATTTATCAAATTGCGTGTTAGCTCACGTGAAAATAATCAAATTACATTAAACAGTTCTCTTTTAGATGCATTTCTTTTTACCAGTAACACGATGGGCAATCTATCGGTTATTCTCCATAAAACACTCCTGATTTCTTTATTTCCTAACTGACAATTATGTATACAATTCCTTCATGTAGAGAGCGAATGAGGCGTGGACATAAAATCTAGGAAGAACCTCATTACTGTTTCAATCTAATTGGTTCTCATCAGCTTTGCGAATCCGCCGACCTAACCAAAGATCAAACTAGGGACCTTACAAGCAGAACACAAGCATACTACTCACTTGGCCACTGGGTAACTGATCAGACTGATTT